TGGTGTGGCTGCTGTGGTGGCTTCAGAGGTGGCTGCAGTGATAGCTTCTGAAGCAATTCCTGCGGTGGCTCCAGTGACCGCGGTGGTGGCTGCTGCGGAGGTTCCTGGTGTGGCTGCTGTGGTGGCTTCAGGGGTGGCTGCAGTGATAGCTTCTGAGACAATTCCTGCGGTGGCTCCAGTGACCGCGGTGGTGGCTGCTGCGGAGGTTCCTGGTGTGGCTCCTGTGGTGGCTTCAGGGGTGGCTGCGATGGTATCTTCTAAGGCAGTTCCTGCGGTGGCTCCACTCGAGACCGCAGTGGTGGGTGCTGCGGGGGTTTTTGGTGTGACTGTTGCGGTGGTTCGTGATGTGGCTTCTGCAGTGATTCTTGGTGTGGCTGCTGTGGTGGCTTCAGGGGTGGCTGCAGTGATAGCTTCTGAAGACAATTCCTGTGGTGGCTCCAGTGACCGCGGTGGTGGCTGCTGCGGAGGCTCCTGGTGTGGCTCCTGTGGTGGCCTCAGGGTGGCTGCAATCGTAGCTTCTGAGGCAACTTTTACGGTGGATCCCATGGTGACTGCTGTGGTGGCTGCCGCGGTAGTCTCTGGTATGACTCGAGTGGTGGCTCCACTGGTTGCTGCGATGGTAATACTTGCTCCTTCTGTGGCTCCCATTGAGATGCCTTGTACAGCTCCCAGTGTGCTACCCGCAACAGTAGTGTCGCTTCCAGTGATCGCTACGCTGGTATCATTGCTGGCATGGTTCATAGTTCTGAAAATAAAGTGTTGACAAGGCGATCTCTTGACGGTGCAGAAAGAATAGTAAATTGAAACTCGACCGGCTTCCGACGTAGGCGAGCGGAGCTGAGAGTGCATGTAAAAAGTGTTTCTAATGCGTTATCTGAAGCTGGTGATAACATTAATTTGCTAGCTGAGCAATTATTACAAGTGTTTCCAAGCAGCAGTAGATGAAAGATTATCTACCGTCAACATTTGGATTTGCTTCTACGTTTTAACACATTGCGTACCGAGCCGTCTTTGCGGTGACGAGCTCGCCTGGCCGCGCGGCGCATGCGGCCACACGGGCAGACATTTTTCGAAATTCTCTTTTAAGGGTCCTTTTCACTTTCTTATCCTTAGTATTGGGTTAAACCACAATTTCATGGAAACTGCGTCATATTTTTTTGCTTATTTGGCTTAATGTACGTTTTAAGAATTAACAAATGATTACACAACAACGATTGTGAAGGATCCAAAAATCTGCTTTGTCCAACTTCTCATGTCTTATAAGACAGCGACGGCGAGCTAGGCAGTTCGATTACCCCACAATCTGCTGTATCATGTTTATTGAACAGCAGTGACGATTAAATGAAGTTGCAGAATATTTTGCATTCCACCCTTCGCAGGATCTCCTGAGGGTGTGGATACATTACACCCATACTTGCCGCACATTTATTATCGAGTTCAATACCAGGATAGAGCGAACTTTAGCAGGGTGCCAAATAAAGTTTAGTTCCAATGCTTAGTACCATGAGGCTTCAAAAATTCACTGCCGAAAGACGTGCAAGCTGGAAAAAACGCTACGAAAGCCTTAGCGCTGATGTTTTGCTGTATTTCTTTACTTGAAGATTTTGGTTGAAAGACATTCTTGCGACGCAGCTTTTTTACGGCTAGATTGTGGTGACTGCTAAACTTGCTTTTTTTCGTCTCTCGGAGCACACTGACATACAGTCCATATCTCAAGGTCAGATTAAATGTCTCCTTGAATTTGACGTGGCTGTCGTCGCACTTGATAGGAAGCCCGTGGATAAGGTCTTCTAACGTACTCCGTTGGATATCAGCAAGCATGCTTATCCGCGCAACTTCTATCAAATGCGGCGGCCGCCACGTCAAACTCCATAGACACGCCTAATCAGACTTCGATAGAGTATACATAACCTCGATTTCGGAAGACGAGAAGAAAATCGAGTGCAGACCACACACCATAAGAGACGACGGCCAAGAAAAAAACCGCTTTTCTCTTGGCCGTCGTCTCTTATGATGTGTGGTCTGCACTCGATTTTCTTCTCGTCTTCCGAAATAGAGTATAGATACCGACATACATACAAACACACACCAAGTTAGCGGTTTATAAAGTAGAAGGATTTCACAATGGATGTACTTCCAGGCAGCGTTCAGAGTTGGCGATCGTACATGCGATAAGGCGATTACGCGACTAGGCAATAACACAAAGATACTTAGCGATTTGCTTGATTAGTTCATTAAGGCCGCGTCCATAGTCCGCGACTCCGGAGATACGATAGTAGTTATGTCCGCTCATAGGCTCGTAGGGTAACCATGGGACTCGCTCCGTGATTCGCTGGTGCTGAGGTTACAGCGCATTTTAATAAGATTGTACAAATTGAACACTCGTGAAAAATCGGCGTCTTTGTGAGGCATCGTTCAGAGTTGTCGATCGACATGCGATTACGTGATTAGGCGAGTAGTTTGCGAGAAAAGGGACACGTGCCGATTGCGCGAATAGGCGATGAAGCAAATAGGTGAATGGGATAAAGCGGGTAGGTGAATAGGCGAATGCTTAGGCCGCGTTCATAGTTCGCGACTCGGGAGATTAGGATAGTAGGCGACAGGATATTAGGATAGTAGTAGAGTAGGAGATTGCGCTGACAAGATTGGATACGTATCGATTGAAATCGCTGGAGAGTAGTAGATTGGGCGACTTCAAGCGAATAGATCAATACATATCTAATCTTGTCAGCGCACTATCCTAATCTACTACTATCCTAATCTCCTACTCTACTACTATCCT